TATATACTCAAAGTTACCTCCAAAACCTCTAGAGCATCTATACTGATGAATGGGTCAGAAACATGAGAAGCCCACATGTTGAGCATGATAGGAGATAAAACTGGCTCTATTGATGCTGCAACTTCATGACCTGTAAGGGAAAATACACAAAGTGAGCTTCTCCTGGTTGAGTGTTGGACGCCCAAAACAAACAAAAACAATAAAACATGAAATTATCTGAACATCAAACTGGGTGTTTAATTGCGCTAACCAGCTGCCACAGCTGCTTGCAGAGTTTCAAGTACTAAATGCATAGTTTCATCCGAGGCCTGAAAAGAAAATAAAAAACATAACATAATTAAATATAGAACAGGTCTGGTAACCAGGGACAAAACACACACCAGGAACATTCCACTTTACATTTTTTAGAAGATCTATAAGTGACGAGAATAAGTCGAATGCAAACTGTTGAACAATTCCCGTGGTGGCATCTGGTAAAAGTTGGGATAAAGCTCGACAAGAACCAACTTTAACTGGTGGAGGTCTGTAAAGAAGGAACAACGAGTGACATCCTGTTGAAGTTTAAAAACCCAAAAAACCCAAGATCTTACACATTCATTCCAACTGTCTTAATAGCAGCATATACGAACTGCTCTGTTACTTGGTTGTTCATCTGTCCATATAATAAAACCAAATGAGATCTTGCAGGAACATGAAAGAGCTGTGTGTAGGATAATGAAGGCAGGCAGAGGAAAAGGGAGGTTGTTCAGTTTTCACTAATAACCATGGAAGAAAATCTTGCAACAGATGAAAATAAGCGGGCACAAAGAAAGGGGTAGTCATGGACGCCTGCAAATAAACAAGGATCTTCCTATTTAAAAATAAATAAATAAATAAATAAAGCTTGAATTAGCAGAAAATAAAGAATTTTTAACACATCAAATAGTGCCTGTCTCACCTGTTGCCATGTCATCAGTTAAAATTTGCTCTAGCATAGTTCCAACAGTGGAACCAGAAACCTAAGAAATCAGAACATAAGACATTAAACAAACTATTAACCCAGCATCTATACAGAAGAGAGACCAAAAAAGGAATATGTCTTGCTATCAGTTATTGGTGGGGCAAGGGTCAACCTCTATTTCAAGCAACTCTTCAGCCACAGAAGCCAAAGCATACAGGGCAGCCTCCCTTAACTGCCAGCACGTTGATAAGTTAGATGATTTTAAAGGGAAAAAAAAAAAAATGATAACTAGTTTAGCAAGTTACAATGTCCATATAACATTTTTCTGCAGTAAATCAAGTCATGAATTTGTTCGACTTACTCTCCACCAACCAGGAGAACCAGTATCTTTCGCCTGTTGGGACTCACTTATTCGACTTCTTACAGAGTCGATCACAGCATTTATGCCTTCGGTCCCACAGGTAGATATTACCTCTTCTAGCAGAAGTGCACCTGGAAGGAATAAAAAATCCACAAGGTAGAAAAATAATTTAAAAAATAAAAAAATAAAAAATAAAAACAAAATCCATGAGATGCAATCTCTGGGTTTATACAAGAATGTAGTGGGTGAGATGAAAAGCAGGAAAACAATAACTTAATCTACATATTTTACTAGACTAGGTTATTGATGCACAAGTCTTCGTGTAGTGCATAAGTCTTCGTGTAGCACGCCCACCGCACACACAAACATACAGGTGAAAGAAGAAGAATTTTTAAATGACAAAAAAAAAAAAAGACAGGTAAAACAAAAACAAAAACGCTCATGCGGTCATAAAGGCCTGGTAGAACAGAAAATCGAACCAAATTAATCGGCAACCAACGAGATCAGAATCTCGAAATAAGTTTCGTAGTATCCAGCATAACACCATGATTTTCTCTATAAGCTTGACTGCTAATTATTCATTGCAAGACAAGATCAAGTACACATATACAGAAGTGGAAGATAAAATGCATATATACCCACACAAGACCACGAAGAGTAAACATTTTGCCATTAGCAGAAATTAAGGAACAAAGTATTGCCAATTCCAGAAACTATTTACCAGATACACGACAACTGTAAGTATTGTCATCCTCATCAGCAACATACTGGTTAACATCGAGGGACCAGGTATGAATCTACATCCATGTCATAAAAACAAAAGATGATGAGAAGTGCAAAGAAAAGAAAGAAGAAATTGACTCAAGTTGCTCCTACAAAAAGTAATCTCACATTTAGTATCTTTGACAGTAAAAATAGATCATGCATATGTAGCTAGCAGCAGATTAACTAGAAAAGCAAGTTGAAACTTCAATACAAAATCGCTCACCCTAAGTTTCAAAACTAAAACATCCAAGAAAAACAGGTGAAAACACTCAAACAAAAGAAAATGTTACAGTATCATATACACATTAGGATATAAACTTAGAGAGAGGGGTATAGGAGGGGTACCTGTTGTTCCGTCATTTGAAGGAAACCAATAGTGTAGTAGACTAACTCTTTTAAATTGTTCATAATAACCTACATGAAAAAATAAAGACTTCCAAAATATCCGAAAGTGGAATCCAGAGCAAGACAATAGGGAGATGGTTTTGCAGCATACCTTCATAAACCTCGGACTTCCAATAACCGTCAATAAAAATTCAAATAACTGCACAACCAAAGACCAGGAAATGCATGTCAAATACAAAAATGCAATTATTCCACAATCACCCAACCAAAAGATGAACAATTTCCTATTAAGATCTTTAATTGTCATCAAAGTTCACACATGCACACTACACAAGTGTTATACACACAATACAAGCACATGCTATTCACACTTCCCACGCATTCCCAAACATGCTATAGAGTTTCAAGCTGACATGCTATATACAGTACTCATACCACATACATTTAACACATACACACCGCACACATTCTACACACAATTTCAGGAAAGAAGAAAATGATAACCCTTTCAGACCCAGCTCTATGAGTAGATATGTTCCAACCAGATGAAAGAAACAAAACCTTTCACTGTAAGAAGTCAGCACCAGTTTACAGTTTAGTCATGAAGTTTTCTTTGATGCTACTTATCCTTGACCAAACTTCATAGAACAAGTAAGAGTGTACCAACCTGGATAACAAAGGACTCAAGACTTTTCTCAGCACCATCAGAATCATACCGACCATCATAGGAATCTTCAACGCCTTCAATCACTGAGCGCTCATAAACTCCCGACGACGACACAAATGTTTGCCACAATGGCCCCAGAATTACTGAAATACAGCAAGAGTGAGAAACTATGAGAATAAGAACAAAAGGATGGGCAAAACGAAAAAAAGAAACAATATATCATCATAACCAGGGTACTAGAAACTATACAAGAACACTTGATATACATACCTGAAAAATGAGTTTCTGTAATGGTGGGGAAGTTCTGAATGAACTGATTCAAACACTTTAACACCTGGACAGCCGGCAAAATTTCAGCAGTCTGCAAACTGACATCATAAAGAAAATTTAAAGAAAAAAAAAAGGAAAAAAAGTACCTCCATCCGTATGCTCCAGTCATCAGGATCTTCAGATGGCACCGGGTGTTTCAAGATTGACGAGAATTGCTCCATCCAAGGTTGGAGCATTGGTAACATTAGGGCGGTTGTGTCTGTCTACTAACCACAAAACACGTAAATATCGTTTTTTTCCCCAATAAATTATGTGCATTTGATCAATTGGCTGAGCTAAGTGAATACCTTGTACACACCACTCATAGCCCCAATCATTGAAGTACAATTATAAATTACTGACAGAGCTTTGGACCTCAGACTTTTGTCATAGATCTGGACATTTGAATCCACAAATATATGAGAAGTTGATCGAAGAGTACCTCTGTATCACAACATTAATGGATTCTAGGGACAATCTAGCAGTGAATTTGTAAGCAACCGAAGATAAAAAATACAATGAAGTACAAAATATATAAATAAAAAGTAGAATGAAATAAAAATAACTATGAAAGCAAAAAGGACCTCTTGAATTTCCTTGTATATCAAAATTTGTTACCAGTGCTTCAGTAGAAGCTAAATAAACATAAAACTAATAATAAATATCCACAAAAAACCATAAATACATTATGTGTTTTCGGTAAGTCGGTGTCCATTTCCATTGCCAGCCTTAATTACCTATTTACCTAAAAGATTTAAACATTTTTACTTCTTCTGAATGCAATCAACAATCTTCAAAATACAACATGCAAGGTATGGACAAGGTTAACCTGAGGAGAGGACATAATCGCGTGCAAGCATGGGAATAAAACTGGGACAAGTTGGGGCACCATCTTGTCATCCATGTCCGAGGAAAGAAGATACAAGCATCGTACAGCTCCATGCACTGCATAAAAACAAAAAAAGTAAGTTTCCCTTTACTTACAAGAAATGTTTAGCATATTATAAAGAAATATTCAGTACTCACCAGCATTCAGTTTACTCTGGTCGTTAATTAAACTTAAAAGAAAAGGCACTAATTCAGGCCAATCTTCTGGCCAATCATAATGTGCAATCGCCGATACAGCCACACTTACTGCAGTGCAGATCTTCTTACTAGGATCATCAAGCAATGCTAAAAGTAGTCCTTTCACAGCTGCCTGATAGAATTATAGAAATAGGTAACATATTAACATGTAATCAACCCTTTCCAGCTTCATCTATCATACATGTCTCCAAATTATCAACGCCAATCAAGCTGAGCAGAAACAAGTTCTTCAAATTTAATACCCCAGTCATTTAGTAGAGAACAAAGTATCTAAAGCTCTAAGCTTTAAGCAAGACTAGATATCTTCATTAATTCCATATAACCTCAGAAAGAAACGTGAAGCAAGGATTTGAGATAAGAAATATTGTCAATATACTGCAGCTCAGGATACGTTTTAAGTAGGTTTTTGATAAAGTAAAAACATTTTAGTCAAAAAGGTGGATCTTATCTACAAATTGTTTAACAGCTTTGATATATTTTCGAGTGCACCTTCTCATTGCTCTCAACAACGGGATGCTCAAAGCCTTCTTCATCCTCATTCCAGTGTTTTCTGATAAATTGCTTCAGCAAAACTGCTGCTAGGTGAATGCGGGTTAATCCCACAATGGCTAAGCTAGAAGAGCTCGAATGGACTATATGTAACGCACAGTAGTAAATTACGTAAAAAAATAAGTAGATTCTATAATTAAATCACAGCATCATCAAGGATATCTGCCGCAATCCAAGTGGAAGTTCTCGGTGTGCTGCAATTCTAGCAAGAGCAACACCATAACCTTTGCAGAAATTCAAAAGGTAACGTAAAATTAATTCGATATCTCATACTGCAATAAATAATATAAAAGGAAAGAAAGCACAGAATTTGTTAAGGTGTCTTGATCCTCGAGACAGTGGCCCTGGTTATCACCTAACAGTAAAGTCATGCTAAAATGGAAACAGCAGTGATCCTCTAGAAAATAAGCGGATATCAATAAACCAATGATTCTGCTGTTACAGGTGATATAGCAATTAAAGCTTTCACCTTTAGTCATAAAATGACATTGTTGCACAGCAAACTTGGCATCAGTCTTACAATTTAGAAAATCAACATCATAACCGAAGCAAAGTTTGCAAAGTTTATAGTAGCAACCCAAAAATGAAATAAAACATGCATACTTTATCCATCAAAACTTGCTCTCGATTATCCTACAATTCTCAAAATTCCATAAAATTACATCCATTCAAGATTTCACTTTCGTGTTCATAAACGGGGGATTTCCACTCATACAACAACAAATTCCATCTCTGGAAAGAACATTAATATCAAACGCTTGCGATTTACGGAAATGATTTAATTAAATCACCTGGTTGAAGGGACGCTTGCTGAAGCGAAGTCTCAGCAAAGGTTCTAGTTTGTTGGCTGGGATCGAGTGATGCGTTCAAGCAATTGATCAACCATTGCTGGTCCTGATCCATTTTCCCGAGTCTACCTACTGATAAATGATCCCTGTAATCAAATGTGTATGTGATTCGAGCAAACCTGTGCTTGCTGTGAGGGTGAGAAAAGTGCGGCAAAATGGAGGGAGTTTACAGAATGGGGTTTTCGTAATTGGGAGTCTTTTATATGGATTAGGGTTTATGAGCGGTTCTAACTTCTAATTTGATAGGTCATAGGTTCACTGCTTGGTCAAAAATACTCTTAAACATTGTTTTTCAACCCGGACCGACCCGGCGGGTCGACCCGGGACCCGACCGACCTGGCGGGTCAACCGGAGACCCGACCGACCCGGAGCCAGAACCGGTCCGGGTAGGCTATTTAAACCGGGTAACAATGAACCAGGTCAAACCCGGCCAACCCAGCATTGACTCAGTCGACCCAGCCATTGAACCGTCCGAGTCAACCCGGTTGATCCGGTCCTTATATATTTTTTAATTTTTTTAAATATTTTTTATATAAAAAATTAAAACTATGTAAATATATTGATATAATAGATTTTTATTGTGAGATATAACTTTTTTAACACTGATGCACAAATTCTATATGCAAAACATTTATTTTTGTTACTTTTATATTTGTAATTTAAAAAACATTTCAAATTAATTATCCGATTCAACAATTGACCCGCTGACCCGACGGTTGAACCGTTGACCCGGTGACCCGAAGACCTGCCCGAGTCGATTTCAAGACCAGGTTTTAAAACTATGCTCTTAAAACTTTCTCCTTTTCATCTTTTTCTTTATTCAGTGAATTTCCTTCCCCATTTTTGCTTCACTTAATCACTTTCTATTAAAAAAAAACTTAGAGGTATATATTTGTCCCCTATATTAATGGGTTATGCTACATTGTCCACCTCCATTACACTTGGTTGTAACCAAGTTGTAATGGAGATTGGCTAAGCATAATTCTCAATGGAATGTCATTAATCCCTCATTCCTCTACTAGAAAAACATGTTTGGGTCTCACTTTCTTTGTGCTAGTTCTATTAGTTGTCATTAGTTTGTTAGTGGCTTGTTCTTTGTTCTAAAACCATGTTTCTTAGTTGTTTATATAATTTTCTTCGTTTCAAAAAAAAAAAATATATAGGAGGTTGTTTCATTGTCCAGCCCTGTTCAAACTAATTTACCTTTATTTATGTTTTTTTTTTTTGTTGGTATCTTTGTTTATGTTTACCCTTATTTATGTTTTACTTAGCATGGGTTGCTCCTTATTGTTTAGACGTTTCACTTCATTTTGTTAGGCTTTTGTTCTCTAGGTGAATTGAAGAGTTTAGCTTACTCTTTGGATCGTACCCTATTTTCTTTTTCTCCATTTTGTAGATCCCCAATATGCTAAAATTTTTAGGCCATTTTTTTCGAATTATCATTTTTGTTTCGTTTTCTTTTCAATTACACATTTGATGTCATTATTTGTCGTTTGATTTATCTGGTCGGGTTTGTTATTTTAGTCGATCTCCGTGCACAGTGACTGAATGAGCCGACCTCGATTTAGTCCATCAGCTACAACATGAAGAATCCGGTAATTGTTTCAGGGCTGACGATGAAGGCCCTTCGCTTCAATTGGCCAATGTTGTTGGTGCTATATTTGTCCGCAAATGTGCCGATTGAGTAATTTCTAAGAGGTACCAATACCAATTTATTTGCCATGATTCAAAATGGTTTTTTTTTTCGGGTGTCTTGATTTTCTGCTCTGCCTCTCAAACTTGTGCAAGGTTTTCGTTTCAAGGATGAGTGTCTTAATTGTGCAGGGAATGAGGAGGGTTTAGCTTGTTTTTAAAGATAAGTTCTATGATTCAGTTTAAATTAAATTCAGTTGATTGTAAATATAACATGGATAGGTGACAAATTTTTTATTTTTCTTCATTTAGGTCGGGTGATTTAATGGTTGCAAATATGTGCATAGAATTGGGCTACAAAATGGCCCAATTCATTAAATTTTGGTGAACATAAGTCTTGTTAATTGGTTTGGGGGTTTTGCATCTGATAAGAATAAATTTGATCAAATATTTACTTGTAATTTTTTTATATTTTATTTTTTGCAATCTGATCAAATCTATGATGACTGTTACAGTAGTGTAACAGGTGTAAAAAATAGTGTTCAACTTTTTTTATTGAAAAATCTTTGTTCAGTGTGATTTGTGTCCATATATTTTTAGATATAAAAGGTGTGATTTGATTGGGATATCATGTGTGATATGGTAATATTATATATACTTTTACTATATTCAGCGTGGTATTAGTAAATGATGCATGTTTTTTAATTGGAGTGGGATACGAAGTTTGATGGTGTTATGTATGTGTGCAGTTATTTCTTTTGCATTGTCAATTTAGTGAATATTTTTTAAAACATCAGGTGCATTTGAAAAATATATTTTATGTTTAGTGGATAGGTTTTCTGTACTTTTTATATTTGATAGCGTTATTTTGTTTCTCTATATTACACCCACAAACAATTTTTTGCTTAGTGTTTCCTGTGTTCAAGAAAACTCTTTCAGCTGGTAATTTTGAGAAAGTTTCTTCTGTGAAACTTCCTTTTATTCTCATTGTTTGTATCATATGTGTGTTAATAGATTTTAAGCTTTTAGTACTTTTGATCTTCCATGTTTGTCATAGCAACACTTTAACAGGTGGTTTTGTTCATTTGAGTTTGGCAGGTCATTGAGCAATATGTTTTGTTCATGTGGTTAGGTTGGAATATTTATTTTTACATGTGGTTTTTAAGGAATATTCATTTGTTTAACTTGCAGTAATATTATGTTGATTTGGTTACGCATTGTATCATCACTTGGGAGTGGATATATTTTTTTTTTTCATCAGTTTTTATATTGATGGTGATGTTTTGTTTTGTTGTTTGCATCCACATACTTCTTTACTTTGTTGTTTCATGCGTGTAAGAAAACTCTCTTTCTTGGTGAGTTTGTAAAACTTTATTTTGTAAAACTGAAAATGTTCTTTTGTTCTCATTGTTTCTATCATTTATGTGTTAAAAGATTTTAAGCTTTTGATGCTTTTGGTCTTGGATATATGTCATATCAACATCAACAAGTACTTCTTCTCATTTAGTTTGGAGTTTGCCAGGTGATTCAACTATATATTCTATTATATACTCTCTCTCTATCTCTCTCTCTCTCTCTCTCTCTCTCTCTCTCTCTCTCTCTCTCTCTCTCTCTCTCTCTCTCTCTCTCTCTTTCTCTCTAATATACTCTTTGTTCATGTAGTTATGGGGACTATTTATTTTACATGTGGTTTTTAAGGTATATTCAATTCTTTCAGTTGCAGTAGGTGTTAATTTAGCTCAACTTTGCATCATCGCTTAGGTAGCCTTTGTATATTCACTTGTTGCATACCAGGTACCTATTGCCTTTGTAAATATAACTATTCAGGGTAATTTTCTTTCTCTTTGTATGTGGTTACTCCATTTTGCCGTATGTTTGTCAATAGGTACATTTAGTGTCTTTTGTATAGTAACATCTATTTGTACGAATTAATTTGTGAAAATATATATGTAATCTCTATAGCAGGTCAAAAAGTTGTGGACGGGCACCATTTGTTACAAGTGGTTCCTGCTGAATCTAATCTAGGCCTCCTAATTGCTCATACTGCAATGCACGAAAATTTTTTCGTAAGACATCACATATGTGTTGTGTGAATGGCGATGTTAATATAAGCTACAATATTGCACCATCTTTGTTGAGGGATTTGTTTGAATCTAACTCAAAAAAAGCTAAATTATTTAGACATGTATTAGGACAATTAATAATCATATTGCATTTACATCAATGGGAGTAAACTGTGATACGGATCTAGAAAAGCGAAACAAAGGTGTGTATACCTTTAAGATACAAGGTCAAATAGATATCATTTTCAATAATATCTCTCATATTTTTACATCACATCATCTTTAATCATTATATTTTAAATATTATTTAATTACACTCAAAATCTCACTCAGTACCTAACTCTATCAACTTTATTCAAAATAAATTAATTTTAATCAATCAAATCCAATCAAAACCGATTTTATTTATATTCAGTTGCTCCTTTAGTGAAAACAACTACTTATCTTGGATATAGTTCTTTTTTTTTTGTTTTGTTTGGGTTTTTTGGTTTGATTTTGTTAATTGTGAAAACGGTGGTGTAGTAGTTGTTAGTGGGTATATTAAAATAATATTCAAAATAAAATAATTTAAGTTGATTTGATGTAAAGATAGAAGAGAAATGATCTGAAGTGATGATTAATTAAAATAATGTGACTAGATAAATAATGAATTAAAGTTGATGTGGGGTGTAAGAATGATTGATTGATATTATGTAATATGTTGATAATATTGGTGATAGTAGTGTTAGTGTTATATACTGAGAGCTTGGTTTTGGATGGCATTACACTTTTACCCTTTATGAATGAGAATCATGTTAGATTAAACAATTTCTATGTTCTGTTGTTTTTCAATTAAATAGTGTGGGTCGTATCGGGTGAACCGAAGATCACTCTATCAGTTACTTGCAAAACAAGAATAATGGTTCAGAACCTAGATAGAAATGAACACCTCATACCGAACGGTTGTAGTGTCAATGGTACAGTTTTTATTGACTGATTAGTTGCACTAGTACATTTATGCATTGGACAAGATCCCAGAGAGGAGAAGTTCGTTGTATACTGGTCGTCATAAACGTACTAGACATCGGTTAATTACTGCGTTCTCTTAACCCGTAAGATTTTAAATAGACATATATATGCAGTAAATTTTATTTTGATTCACTTGGGTGGGGTTCAGTTCGCTGAATCAATATTCCTACTATCTTGGATAATATTATTGTATTATGATGTGCTATTAGGATATTTACGGTCACCATGTATTTTTAGTTGATGATGCCCCCGAAGTGAGTTCATGAAGGATTATTATGTTAAACCCTGCAGGTGGAATAAATTCCGGCATAGTAATAATGTGATGAACTAGCGCTAGCTTCGGTGAAATAAT